AAGGAAAAAAAAAAAAAAAGAATACCTCATAAGAGTATAAATCAGTTTTTTTCTGATTTTATTAAATGTGAACTGAAGTCTTCTTACTATAGAAATAGTTTCGTGATATAACCAAGTTACATAATACAATTTGATTGTAAAATTATACATTAAATAAGATAATGTTATTTATCTCATATTACATGTTAAATACCTGCATCTTCAAACATATTTATTCTAAAAAATATAGCAGCACAAGTGTAGTCCACTCTTTATACATACAGGCCACACATAGATAAAAATTTTAAATATTAAAATATACAATCATGTAAATAAGACAAATGGAAATGTTTGTTTTGTAATATCACAGACATGGGGATGGCTTCCCAAAGATTAAAACCTAGAAGCCGTAACAATGACAAATATATCTGTAAAATGACTACTGTAGAGATAACTGCAAAAAGAATAAATGAACTAAAAACAATCCTAAAGAAATATACCTTTACTATACATGTGACAAAAGATAAATTGTCTTAAAATTATAAAGAGCTGCTAAAATTATGTAGACCGACACACCTATTCAGAGACAGAGAGGTAAAGCAGTTTCACAAAAAAAAGAAATAATAATAATAATTTATAACCTCTTCCTTTAGTTTCTCTTTCTCCTCCTCTCCAATCCCATCCTTTAACTTACCTGAGCAGTAAAAAGGAATTTCCCATACTCATTTCCCTCATCATTCTAGATCTCAAGTGTGTCCAGGCATAGCAAACCAAGACTCTCAGAAAAGAGAATTGAGAATAGCAGTGTTTCTAAAATATTTATTTGTAGCAATAAATTGCATTTAATTTCTAATAGGAATTTTTAATAATTAATTTTTGTTCCTGGGTTGCCCATCTCTATTAATATTTCCTGATTTGTTCCTTACTTTTGGTCTTGTTAGTTTCTTTCCAACCTTTCCTTGGACTATCCAATTAACTACAGTAGAAAACCCTGGAGAAAAATCACTCTTCTAAAAGAGGATTTTTAGAAATTTAGGATTTTGAGGAATTTATGTGTTACTGAGATCTCAAAATGGAAAAATCATTTTCTCAAGGAACAGTTCTACATGAAGCATACAGTTCTTTCAGGAAACCTTTAGATTAATTCAATATTACTCAATGAGAAAAATACTATGATGCTAGAAGAATGTTTCACTGTATAAAATTCCCTTCATAATCCCTCCCCCAAAACAAATAACATATAAGGACCCAACATGAGAAAAATACTATGATGCTAGAAGAATGTTTCACTGTATAAAATTCCCTTCATAATCCCTCCCCCAAAACAAATAACATATAAGGACCCAACATGCTCAACTTTGCTCACCTCCTCTCCTGAAAGGTAATATGCAGCAAGTAGGCCTCCAATAAATCGAATATTGACTTCAAACACAGAAACCTCTGAATTCTGTGAAAACATATTGAATATATTCATAAATACATAATAGTGAAAATAAAACTTCATTTGTAGGTTAAAGTGCTGGACTCCTACATGGCCAACGACAATTCGAGTCTCAGACACAGGGGGCTTGAAAATCATGCCAGAAGCACATGTGACATACACAAAATCCTGAGAGGAGAATGGAGAAGGTATTTCAATGTGGCCATCCCTCCTTAAGAGTGATTTCTCACTTTTTTCCTCTCTGTCTCTCTCACATATACCACCCTATGACAAAAACCTTAAAAAAAAAAAAAAAAAAGCCTCATTTGTTTCTCTCACCCTGCAGAAATATTTTTCCTTTTGTTATCCTCATTGCTCATGCAACTGTAATCTCACCTCCCATTTATAAATGTTACTGAAATGCCTTTTTTACTGTCACCACAGCTTTGTAACTGCCAACACCAGTGGGCTTTTTTCATGTACCTTACATAGTACTGTGAGAGTATCAAGACATTTAGTATTGTTGAATACTACCCCTTCCTCATGAAAAGCCTCCACTTACTGAGTTCTGGACCTTGAATTCTGGAATAGCACTCTCTACTGATGATCCCTTTTCTTTTGTTCCAATCATTCATTATATAATTTATACTTCTTTCTCTACACATTCTAACATGGGGTGGGGGGGAATAAAACTGGTGGGCCAGTGGGTGGTATAGAGGTTAAGGTGGCTGGATCCCAAATGGCCAACTATGCAGTTGGAGTCCCAGAAATGGCGACCTGAGAATCATGATGGCCACATGTGCATACATACTCAGAAACCTGAGAAAAGGGAGGAGAAGGGATTGCAGCATGGCCATCTCCTCTAGAGGGTGATTTCTCACTTTTGTTCTCTGTCTCTGGCAAGTACACACACCCTATAGCAGGAAAAAAATAAAAAGAAAAAAATACAAGTGGTAGAGAACATGAACAAAGAATCTACAGAATCCATACAATTTACTAATATTTTTAAATTAATAATTTTTAATAAAAATTAAAAGGGAAAATGTATTATTATGAAGTCTTTCCACAGAATATACCATTCGATATGTGTATAGAACACAACTATATTTCTCCAATATACAACTTTCACGATATAATGTAAATTTTCAGTAACAAAGGTATCATCTCATCCCAATCTTAAAAGCAAAGTGCTCAATATAACTTAATAATTCCCAGTATAAAGCATATTGCACAGCACATAGTAGATAATCACTACATCATGGGAAAGTGTAGGTTCTTCATTCGTGGAGAGGGACCTCTATCACTCACCAAAACTGTAATGATAATGTCTTAACCAGTTTCCCTTTTTTCATCCTTACTTTCCTCCCTACTCACTATTCAGCAACCGATAGTTAGGGTGAGTCTTTTAAGTCTTCTGTCAGTTTAAGGCACTATTCTGTCTAAGCCCTTAAAAAGGCTTCTTTGTTACACTGAAAAATAGGTAAAAGGACTGGACATGCTCAGATCCTCTACAACCTTGCTGACATCTTTCCTACTAATCTTTAGACTCCTTTTACCATACAGGCCTACTTCCTCTTCACAAAACTGCCAAATGAAACTCTGGTGTCAGTCTTTACATTTGTTAGTCCTTGTCTGGATGTTTTCCCTTTATGTAGCTGAATGAATCACTTTGTAACTTCCTGCAAGACTCTGAATAAACATTACTTTATCAGAAATTTCTTCTAACCATCCAATATAAAATAGTAATCCCATCACTAATACCCCTTTGCCTTGCATTATTACCCCAATTAACGTTATCACCTGATTACTACGTAATAAGATGGTAATACAGTATTTTTTAACTGTAAAATTCAAAACTTCTTTCACTGGAAAGAAAAAAGATATAAGAAGTGCTAGAGAGAAAGGAGGGAAAAATGAGGGAGAGGCATTATTAAAAGGAGTAATGACTAAGAGTCTTCTAAAATTAATGAAAACATTAATCCTCAGAGTAATGAAACACAAGTTCTTTAAAGAATAATTCACATATAAATACATGAAAATGGAATTATAAAACAAAGTGAAAAAGAAAATATAAAAACAAGGAAAAAAATAGACTACTGTTATGGTTTGGATAATGGTTTGTCCCTCAAAGGTTCATGTTTTGGAATTTGGTCTTACTGTGGGAAGTAGGGGCAGGTGGTGGGGGCTAGGTATCTCTCAAAGGTTCACATGTGGGAAACTGGTTGTACTGTAAAAGCATTAAGTGAAAACTTAAGTCTCTTCACCGTGCCCAGGATGGGGCCTTTGGGTGTTATAAAATTATTAGGGTGGAGTCTTCACGATTGAGTTCTCTTGTACATATAAAGAGAGGAAATGAGGCAGGTAGAGCCCACATGGACAGAGAACAGAACAAGCAGTACATATGGACTGATGTTCTACTCAAGATCTTGCCCTCTGCCATGTTGTAGCCTTACTAGACTTCCAAATTGCAAACTGAGTAAACCTCTATTTCTTTATAAATCACCCAGACAGGTATTTCTGTTAACAACACAAAAGAAACTAAGAATTATCTTCTAATGGTTAGACTAAAAGTACACTTCTCAATGGCTTAAAAGAAGCAGAAAAGGGACTAGAAGTTAGCGTAATGGCTATATCACTGGACTCCCATGTAGTCGACCGCAGTTCGCGTCCTGGACCCAGTGGCTTAAAACTCACGCCAGGCGCGTGTGCTTGTGTGCCCAAGATCCCAAGAGAAGAATGGAGAAGGGATTGAGGCGTTGCCATTCCCCCTGGGGGGTGATTTCTCACTTTCTGTCTCTCTGTCTGTCTCTGTCTGTCTGGTGAGCGCACACGCCCTATGGAAAATACTATACCATTTTAAATAAGGAACTTGAGCATCTATGGATTTTGGTATCTTTAGGGAGCTGGGGAGAGTCCTAGAAGCAATTATCTACAGACACCAAGGGATGACTGTATATTAAAACTTCAAAAGTAATTCCAAAATGAATGAAAATGCACAGTATAAAAGGCAAGCTAGTAGAGAGAAGGAGAAATGAAGTAGTCCAAAATAATGAAGAAAGTAAAGGATACTACATTCAAAAATAATAGTAAGCACAAACATGGAAGATGATAATGAATATGACAAAACAGTCCACCCATCTTTTAGGTGAAGACTGGTAATAATTTAAATAATTGTGATTTTTACTGAGCACTTAATATATACCAGTTTATCTCAAATAATATTCATAATATTACAACAGAATAGCAATTATATAAAAGGTTTAGAAAAAATAAGAAGCTGTCCCAGTCACACAACTAAAATACAGCTCTGCTGGGCTTCGAACTTAAGCACTAGAAGGATGGGCACTGGCCTCATTATGAAGGCCCATCAAAGCTGTGCCAAATCATTTACACCTTTTTAAAAAGTGGCAAAACACACATTATTTATAAAATAGTTTATGGTTTCCTTATATTTCTAGTTCATTGCTTTTTGTCCCTATTAATACATTTAACACATTACCTCAAATGAGAAGGGCAAGTAAAAGTAAAAGGAAGATGGTGAGAAAGGGTGTGTATTTTATGCAAAAATTAAATAACAATTGCTAATCTTAAGAAGAGAAAGAGGCCTTAGTATTAGGCCTTCTTTAAGCTGCTAGCATATCATTCCAAACCATTATGATGAGTATCTTGAGCCATTCAGGCTGTTATAACAAAACACCATAAACTGGGTAGCTTATAAACAACAGAAATTTCTTTCTCACAGTTCTGGAAGCTAGGAAGTCCAACATGCCACAGATTTGTTGTCTGTTAAGGGCCTACTTTATGGTTTGCAAAAGGTGCCATGAGCTTATCCTCCTATGGTGAGAAGGAGCAAGGCAGCTCTCTATGGTCTATTTTATTTATTTATTTTTCTTTTTAGAGATTTTTGCTACAGGGCGCATGTGCTCGCCAGAAAGAGAGAGAGACAGAATACCACAATCCCTCCTACTCCAGTCTTCTCTTGGGATTTTGGGCAAGCATGAGGGCACACAAGCACCTGGCATTTTAAGCTGACAGGTCTGGGTTTCAAGCCACAGTTGATCATGTGGGAGTCCAGTGACGTAACCATTACACCACCTTTGGTCCCCCTCTATGGTCTATTTTATAAGGGTATTATTACCATTCAAAAGTTCTCTCCCTTCATGACTGTTACCTTCCAAAGGCTCCACCCACTAATACCATCACATTAATGATTTGGTTTTAACATATAAATTTTAGGAGGATACAAGCCTTCATTTCTAGTAGTTTTTATTTTTCTTTCTTTCTTTCTTTTTAAATTTGCTATACGGCATGTGCCCTTTCCAGAGAGAGAAAGAGGGGTAAAGTGAGAAGTCACACCTCAGGAAAGATAGCCATGACACAATCCCTTCTCCTCCATACTCTAAGGATTTTGAGGCAAACATGCATACGTGCCCAGTCTTTTTTCAAGCCATTAGGTCCAGCACTTGAACTGCAGTTGTCTATACAGGATCGAGCCTCCTTAACCATCGTGTCACCAGCTGACTCTAGAGACAAACCTTCAAACCATAGCAACTGAAATAGCAATAGCCACCACTTGGTGTCTGTTAAGGGCCTACTTTCTGATTCACATAGCCAATTTAAGATATTTATCAACTGTGTATACTCACCACACTAAAATCAAGGTTGTCTTCAATCCATCTTTGCCCATCTATGAATTCAGCATGAAGTCCCATTATATAAAGGGTATCCAAAGCATCTACTATGGTAGCACCCATTTGTGAACTTCCTGTATTTGGGAGGAAAAAAAAAAAAAAACTATCATTAAAAAGATCCCCTTCATTTAGATCTATTTCATTTTTTTATATATAAAAAGTAAATTAAGCCAGTTGTAATGGCACAGTGGTAACACAAAACTCCACAATTCTAAGGCTATATGGAAAGGTCCTGATTTTGTCCTGTGCATGCAGAGCACATGCACATGCCCATGATCCTAACTGGCTGAGGCTGGGAGTGGATCATGGCATGAAAAATCCTTTGGGAGGGTACTATGTTCCTCCATTACTTTCTCGAAAGAAAGAAAGAAAGAAAGAAAGAAAGAAAGAAAGAAAGAAAGAAAGAAAGAAAGAGAGAAAGAGAGAAAGAGAGAAAGAAAGAAACTAATTTTTTTAATTAAAGTAAGAGTATAAAGACCAAAGAGAATACTCAAAATTGTTCATTTTGATAATATACAGAGTTAATATATTTTACTAAAGGTGGCACATTGATAACTTACAGGAAGATAAAAGAAAACTAAAAGTATAAATAATTCTCCTTAGTTTTCTGCCTGGTTAGAATATGAGATAATTATCTATACAACTGAGATGAGTGTGTGGAGGGGATATGGGAGGAGGGAGGATGAGGCTCAATTCAAGAAAAGAACACAGTTGTTCGAAATAAGCCAAATTAGGAACCAGCAGTTAGCGTAATGGCTATGGAGGAGTCCGACCTGGTAGGGCCCCAGGATCTATTTTGAGTTTTTGACCTTTTAAGTATCACTTAAGTCGGGTCAGCATGTTGGCAAGGCCGCTGCTGTGTACCCACCTCCCCATCCCCGACCAAGGAATAAGACTTAAGTCGAATTAGCATGTCGGCAAGGCTGCTTGCTATTTGCTCTAGAAACTGTGGTAGCCTTGCCGGGAAGTGACCCACCTCTGATTCCCCAATATACTACTATAAAAGAATTACATTGCTTTCTTATACATCCTGAGTATATGATAAAATTTTTCAAGAAGTCTCCCGACCACTCCCCTTTGCTCTGACCACCTACTGTTAATTACAATGCTTTACTCCAGCGGTCATAATAGAGAGTGTAATGAAGTTACATCTAGGCAAAAAAATATACATCCTGAGTATATGATAAAATTTTTCAAGAAGTCTCCCGACCACTCCCCTTTGCTCTGACCACCTACTGTTAATTACAATGCTTTACTCCAGCGGTCATAATAGAGAGTGTAATGAAGTTACATCTAGGCAAAAAAATTTTTTGACCTTTGGAAGGCCCTTTAAGATACATTTAACATAAGCTTAAGAATAATCTTTTAGGCCGAAATGGGCCCAGGGCACTCCCGCCCTACTATGGCTAATGTTCTAACAAAATACCTAACAGTGGCACCACAGGCACAATAGAATGCCACAAACTCACCTTAAAGTTTTTCATTAACTTGTTAGTCACTTTACCGCCAGTTGAAAAGGCTGTCTCCGCCCTTACTTAGTAAACAGTAAGTTTTACCCCTTTAAGGTATATTAGGGTTCCTTGAATTAAGTTTTAGATTCCCTATACAATTATATAAGTTCCATTTTTTATTAAGATCCATAAGAACTAATATCTATACTTGAGATTTTTATTTCTCAGCACCATTCCCGGTAATTACAAGATGGTTGCTGCGCTGCATCAGCTAATAATCATCTCTGCTTGCTGGAGCCACTTTCTCAAAACTATATTCCATGAAGACCTACCTACATTTAACGAACAATTGTTGAACTGCGCTAGACTCACCCTTAATCTAACCCTGAATAGAATCTATGTTCCCTATTGTTAAAACTTTATGAGCTGATAATTGAAACATGTAGCCCCTCTCCTGTTTACTTGCATGTATCACACTTTTAATAAAAACGCATGATAATTCCTAGCAGGCGTCACTCTTCAGAGAGCAATCTCTGAGGGGTGTCTGACTCAGGACGTACATAAAAAAGCACCGAGACCTTTGTTTTCTGTTCACCTGCGCCGCCTCCAACGAGTCAACCCACCCCCGCCGAGGCTGGACCCCAGCAGGCTATGTTGCTGGATACCCTGTAGTCGACCACAGCTCGAGTTCCGGGAAAGATGTGAAAGCCCCAAGTCTTGCCAACAGCAAAAGCATCCAGGGAAGGTTCGTTCCCGTACTCAGTTCCAACTCGATATTTATGAGTAATTTATTTTGATATGTACATCTTATATTTTCCTACTTTTATTTATGCCCTGAATTATATTTATGTATGTTCATGAGGTCTGTTTTCTACATTAAAACAGTTTGTACCAAAAAAAAAAAAAAAAAAAAAGACAAGTTATAAGACAACCATGCCCTTCTGGCCCATATTCACAGAAAAGAAAAAAAAAAAAATTAAAAATAGTAATAGGGCCAGTCCTGTGGCCTAGTGGTAAGGGAGGTAGATCCTACATGGCCGATCTTTGTACAAATTCCAGACTAATAGCTTGAAAAACACACGAAGCACATGTGTGTGCATGCCATAAATCCTGACAGGATGGAAAAATGAAGCAGGAGGGACTATGGTGTAACTATACCCCATTAAGGGATGCTTTTTCCCTCTTCCTCCTCTCTCTGGTGAGTGCACATGCCCTCTGGCAATTAAAAAAATAATAATAATGAATATACAAAGCTAGAAAAACACAGTGGAAAAGAAACAGAATAATATTTAATACTAAGGGGCCAGCTGGACTCCCACATGGCCAACTACGGTTCAAGTCCTGAACCTGGAAGCTGGCTTGCTTTCTCACTTTTAGCCATCAGAAGAATGGCTCAGAAAAAATTCTCTTTCTTTCTTTCTCTCTCTCTCTTCCCCCTACTCCCTCTCCCTCCCTCTCTCCCTTTCAATTCTTAAAAAAAAAAAAACAACTTAACGATAAAAAAAAAAGGGGGGTCATACTGAATAAGGAAACCATGAAACAAAATGTAAGTAAAGAAAAATCAAAGTAAGATCTACTCATCTTTAAAAGAGAGAATCCTATTCTTTAAATAAATGTTCCAGAAAGATATGAAAAGAAGGAGGAAGGAACAAAAGAAGGAAAAGAAGGGTGGAAGAGAAGGTAGAATTCATTTGAATCTACCCTAACTGATACCAAAAGTAGATACTGCAAAAACAACAAATAGGCTAATCTTAATAAATTTAACTGTAGGGACCAGCAGTTAGCATAATGGCTATGTTGCTCGACTCCCACGTAGTCGACCGCGGTTCACATCTCGGACCCAGTGGCTTAAAACTTACACCGGGTGCGTGTGCGTGCGTGCCCAAGATCCCAAGAGGAGAATGGAAGAGAAGGGACTGCAGCATGGCCATATCCCCTGGGGGGTGATTTCTCGCTTTCTGTCTTTCTGTCTCTGTCTGTCTGGCGAGCGCACGCACCCTATAGGAAAAAACCTCTCAAAAAAAAAAAAATTAACTGTAAAAATCCTAAATAAAATAGAATCAAGACAAATCTGTAGTGTAGTAAAAGAAAAAATGACAGGGAAAAGATGAGTTCTCCTCAGTCCTATGAATGTGATCATTATTTCTGTCCTCTGAGAATGGAAATCATCCCCACAGCTTACCGTCTACATTAACACGGCTTTACTATTACATTGTCTTCAACATGAGTTCACTATTCAAGGAGACTCTTGCCCAAAAAGACAAAAGTTTCCAAAAAATGTTACTGTTCATTAAAGAAACTTTCTGAAAGATTAATCAACTTTTCAACAGGAAATATCAAATGATGATTTGTATCCCAAGACTCTAAACTCCTTGCCCGCAAATTCTCCCCTTACCAGTTCTAAACTGCTGTATCATGATCTTCACCAAATCATAAACTAGTACTCCAAACTGAAAGATACATCTTAAACTAGACTTAAAGTTTCAGTACATACCTTGACTTTGTCCTTCCCACTTAGAAAGGCTCCCAAGGCTCTGGTGAGGTAGTGGTCTCCTTACCACAATAATCATTAACAGCTTTGTCCTATCAACAGGTTTTCTTGGTGATATTTTAGGAGTTAGCATTCTGCATTATGTAGCTCATATTTTCCACCTACTATTATTTATTTTCTTCTCCCATTCCTCTCTTAGGTAGATTTTCTTGTGATGGCTAAAAGCTACACAAATTTGTTCTCACGCTGGTTGTTATTAATGTACATGCTATTTTCTTGTTCACGTGCTCCTAACAAGTACTTCAACATATCAATACATACATTTTCACACAAATAAGACAAATACTCCAACTTGCCACTTTCATAAATTGCTTGGTCTTCTTTCCTTTCTTTTATAAGAGAGAATTTTGCATAGGGCACATGCACTCACTAGAGAGACAGAGAGAGACAAAGAGACAGAAAGCAAGAAATCATCCCTCGGGGAGATGGACATATCGCAATCCTCCATTCTCCTCTTGGGATTTTGGGCATGCACTTATGTGTGCCTGGCATGAGTTTTAAGACACCAGGTTTGGAACTCAAACCACAGTTGACTATGTGGGAGTCCAGCGACAAAGCCATTACGCCATCTGCCAGTCCCCTCCTTGGGGACTTTTTTTTTTTTTCCCAGAATTATTTTAACTTTATTTATTTTAATCTGACCAAAGAGGGACAGAGTGAGAGCAAGAGAGAGAAAGTGAGAAGGCAAGCCTGCTAGGTCCAGGACTCGAACCACAGTCAGCCATGTGGGAGCCCAGCGCAGCGCCCTTAACCACCAAGCCACTGCTGGCACCCTCTCCTTGGTTTTCTTTCTATTGTACTTAATTTCTGCACATTGATCTAATCTGAAATTTTAGTTACAGATTATTAAAGAAATTCTTTCCTTTCGCTGTTCCTATCTTTCAACTTTTTATTCAGATAAAAACTTTATCAGGCCACTTAACCACCTACCTAATCCTACCTCTTCCATAACCACTTGAATGTATCTATTTTTTATTTCAATATGCTATCCAAAATAATTACCAAATTTATTTAAAAATCTTGAGTAATGTTCTTTATTCTTATTTCAATTTTTTGTAGGTAGTTATTAAGC